GGGTGCGGGGCGGTTACCTGAGGGAGTTAGAAGCGGCGGCCTGTGGCTGCTCGTAGCCAAGTGGCCTTCCCCGCGCTGGCAGTGAGGCACCTCGCTGTGCACTGCTGAGCAAGACAGCTCTGTGTTTCCTCACTGAGTAGCTGCGCTGTGTTTTGGGGTCCTGTGGCCACTTTATTATAGTAACCCCAGTGGGAAGTGTGCCTGCAGTCCCTCATGGCTTCCCTAGCTGTTCCCAGCTTTAATATGGAGGCTCTTCATCCCATAACCCAGAAAATACAAAATGCCACCCCCAGACTCTGTGACTCGCCCTTCCATTTTGTCTGAAAAGCAACAAGAAGTGTCCTCCGCCAAAAGTCTTGTTTGGTTTGGCAGCCATTCTGCAGTGTTTTCGAGATTGTGCTTTTCTAGAAAAAAAAATGTTTTGGTTATCAGCCTCTACAGGTATCACTTTTCTCTCACCCATAAGACCTGCTACCTGCAAGGAAGGGAATTGTGTTACGCAATGCGATTTAAACTCGGTAAATCTATGTTAACTGTTGCTTCTCTCTTTTTTTACTCTTTTTTTTTTCTTCCCCTGAAGGGACAAACCATTTGCAAGCGCTCTGTCCCATTAGCTTTTATGATCTCCGGGAAGACTGAATCTGGTGAGTGGTTCCCAGAGGGGAGCTGTGCTCAGCCAGCAAGCGCGTCGCTGGAACGCTGCAGCACGTGTTTTACAACGTCTTTACCACAGAAAGTCCCCAGGTGGCTATCCGGGATTATTTTAAGCATTAGGAAAGTTGGGGAACAGGCCCTTCTTTTCTGTGTTTGCAAACCAGCAACAATTTTTGTCTCATTCTTTTCAAACGCCCTTTTCCTGAAAGCCATAGCTGCTGGAATTTCCCGATTAAGTGATAATCTTGAAGGCATCTAAAAAAATCTCTAATCCTTACAAGTGGAAGAAAGAAACTTGAAATGCATCTTTTAAGGATGAAAAATAAATAAAAAATACTTAAAATTGCAGTTAGAAAACACTGATATTGTGAATTTTTAGCACATAGCTAAAGTTATTTAAGTTCTTAAATGTACTACACTATAAAAAAGGCAAAGCAAAATCAGAAAAGCAAAGTTGTGTTTAGCATTGCTTCTCAGAAATGTTTTAAGATCAGCAAAAACAAATTGCTTTATTATTTTCTTAATTGCTCCAGTTAGGTGGCTTCAAATAGGTTTTTTTGAGAGTTTGCATGGGGAGGACTGTAAGAACAGCTCTTTGTGCAGTGCTGGGGTCTGAGTTTGGATGAAAAGCAGACTTCCTACTTTACTTTGCAACGCTGATTCACTGACTCATGGTAAAAGGTTCTATCCGAATAATGACATTTTATCTGTTCTTTCTTGTGTCATAAATATTCCAGTTCCTTTACATTGTGCCTGGCTGTGCTGCAATGTATAAAACCATGCGACGATCATACAGCCAATGGGCCATAACTTCATATTGCTGTCACTCACATGAAATGTGTGATTGCTGTTGGATAACACTGGTAAGGTGTGACCAAAGGTGTTTGAAAAACCAAATCCATGGAAAGAAATAGATTCCTATCTCTGGCCAGAGTATGATTGTAAATAGTCACAGCTCAATTACAACCACGTGAATCTTTATGGAATGATCATGGTATCTGGTCCCTCACTCTCACAAAAGTAGCAAGAGAGTCACGTTTTCAGCCCAAAATAAGGAGACTTAAGGAATACACAGATAAAGATTTGCAGGTAAAGAATTTTGAGGGTTATTATTTATTTGGCATGTTTAGGAAATTCCAAATGCTACAAAGTTGGAGCAGGCCTGCTCAGTGCTATGGTGAGGAACGAGCATGTACTCCATGTACTAACTTCTCGTAAGATACCAGATCTTGAGCACTTGAAACTGCCTCATGTTCTTGATCTGGAAATATAGTCAATAACTGGGTGGTGAGAACTTTGTTAGAACTACTATGGACCTAACCACATTCCAAAAACCTGCTATGTATTCTTGGTCTTTTAGTAAATGTGTAGCATTGCATGTATTAAAAACACACCAAAACAAAATGCTCATCTTCACGCACTTCTCTGGGAGCAAGAACTGGAAAAACAATGGTCTGTGATCATGATTAGTGATATAGCTTAAAGTGGTTCTGGATTACTACAGCTTTGATTACAGCAACCTAAGATGATGCATGTAGAGGGAAGTGGATGTAACCAGAGAGCACATAAATTTTTTGTTAACATTAGGAAGGGCAAGAAGGAAAAGAGGAAGGCAAGATCTCCTGTGGTGGCCCATGTTCTCCAGGGTTCTTGTTGCCCTCAGCAGAGTGGCTGTGATGCTTGTGTGCCCTCCTGAGGATGTCTCTGTTGAACTTCTGGCAATTAAACATGCTTTCCAGGCAGCAGGGGAGCAACTTCAGAGACAGATTCCTCTGTTCACCAGTCCTTGGCAGATGGCAGCCCAGGTGTAGGTACAGAGGAATACGTAAGGGATGCTTTTGTCCTTGTCTTTGCTCTGAATATTACAACATCAAAAAAAAAAAAAAAAACAGAAGTATGATGCACTGTATATAGTAAAAGTATGCTTGATTTTCTGTTATAGTTAACTGAATTAGGTTACACTGCCTATGTAATCTTAATCAGAAGACAATTGATTATTGGTTTGCCTGATATAATATACTTAAAAGTTCTCCAAATAAATACCTGCCTTATAATATTGATTTTTTTTTCTTTTAACATCAAGCTGCTGTTCAGGGACAATCACCTGAACATGAACGACACCAGACATCAGTCTCTGTTCTTTGTCAGTCTGCCTGAGCTAGAAAAGCTCTGTGCCATTACAGTAACCCTGAGCCCCCAGCTGGCAGAATCTGAGATAAGGAATGCACAGATAAAGATTTGCAGGTAAAGAATTTTGAGGGCTATTATTTTCAGAAGCTCTTGGGGGTTGTTATTCAAGGATTTTATTAGCAATAATTAACTGAAATAAAATCGGCAACATTCGTAGTAGCAGTAAGCACAAGCACCTTTTCCATTACATTTTAAATGTGATCTGGCAAAACTAACAAGACCTCCTATGTGGAATTAATAACTAGTTAAAATTAATCTATGATTACATAAAAAGCTGGAATACTTGAGGTGTCTCTTCTGAGCTATGGCACTGCTTTATGGAGGCTGAGACTGAGTGAAGAGAGTACTCATAAAGCACATGTACATTCCCAGTGCACAACAAGCATTATGCCGTCCTATCTGCTAGGAAGGGGAAGAAATGAGAAATTCTACAAAGTAAGAGCCACTGGGATTTGTTTTTCATTTGTCAAAGACTGCAGCCTTTTTCTTAGACTTAAACCCACCATCTTGGGTGGATTAAGAGCAAACGAACTTGGGATACACCAACATACTGTATGAACTGCTAGAAATCAATTAAAATTGTAATGTGTTATGTCTGTAAAAGGTAAGGAAAATAATGTAAGCTGAGCAAGTCGAGTACAGAATTTTTTTCTGATTTTTTTCAAACTTTTCTTTGTAGACAACTATTATTTATGCATCAAGACATCCTCTCTGCACCTGTAATTGGAACACTAAATCAAATTTCAGTAGTAATGGCGGTCAGTAATCACTTATTAAACTAATATTTGCAGTTATAGGTACATGTTTTTCTAATGTTTTGTCTGAGGACCAAGTATAATTACATTATTTGAAGCAAACTTGCAGATACATGCATTAGTAATGTGGATGAGAACTTAAGTCTTCTATTATTCTGGTGAAGTAGCCTTCCCAGATGCCACACAATTCACAGTGACTGCAGCAGGGTCAGGGTTCTGCCTTAGCTTTCTAGGCAGCCTTCTGCTTGCTTGGTAATGTATCTTTAGCTAGAAATTAGATTACACTAAGATAAATGCACAACTCCGTTACCATACTCCTTTAAAGTACAGGATATGGTTATTACCTTAACTCTTTCCAAATGTGTTTTTTTAAGGCGAAGATACTGATGGGCCAGACTTAATTTATGATTTGCTAAAATATCCCTTTAATGTCAGATACTTGTAAAATTGTGGTTTGTTTGGTTGGTTTTGTTTGTTTGATTTATTTTTCAGATAGCTTTTTTCAAAACTGGAGTGTGTCAAGCATATATAGTGAAACAAGGAGCTACTGTAAGTGCTGAAAGATGTTACTAGTCTCTGTTGTTAGGATTATTATTCTTCCCTGCAGTTTCTGTTGCTAGAGACGAGTATTGAAATTTATTTCTTTTCTTAGAATTTGCACTACGGGATACAGGATTTCAAAGTAAAAAGCACCTGTGCCCTAGGCAAAATGTGACTTGCAAACCTGGTTAAAATAAGGATACTGTATCAGAGACAGAAGTCTTTTAAAAAGCTCCTTTCCAGGGGTGTTAGTATTTACCTAAAGGCGGAGCCATTTGGGTTGGAAACCTGCAGCTCCCCCTTTGGCGCTGTGTGCACATGTCCCAGTGCTCCCACGACTGGGGTGCTCACACAGCTGAACTGGGTCCCCATTCACGCTTGGGCTATATCCAGCCTCTGTAGAATTGTCCCAGGGAAACACAACAAAGCTTTAGAAGATAAGTGGAACCCTGAGCTGATACATTTTTAGACTGAATATTCTGCATATGTTTTGCTGTGTCCTACTATGCAATGTTTGTGATTTATTAATATATCTATAGACATACTAAAACTGCTAAGTCAAAAGAGTTATTGTAATAACAGCCAATAGCTCTATTGCTTTATTTGCAAAACGAGGGGACGTGTTTTTTTCTTGTTTCCAGGTGCATAAATGTATATTTGGATTTGGAAAACACATTTATCAAATGCTTTTGTGATCACAAACAACATCTCCTACTGGGTTTGATAGCAGAGCTAATATTTGAAAAGTTTGAGTGTTATAGCTAAGAGATGTGCATCTCGTAAAATACTGCATAGAATTCAATTCAGCTTTCCTTCAACTCCATTATCATCCCTGTGAAAACATTAAAGGAACTGTGGTGCACTTTACAATTATGACCCATAAAAATCTAAATACTTACATCAACTATTATGCTAACTCCCACTGTACATAAGAAGGTGAAAAGTAAAGATACTAATGTTTACTAGGATTTGGCCCCAAAATACAGTAGCAGTATCTTTGCTGAAGTGTTGACTGAAGCCTTTTAAAAAGCCATTAAATGATTACTCTTCTTCTTTTCTCACTGTCTTTTTTAGCTGGAAGCACCACAAACAGTCACTCCTGCTGTTCTCCAAACCTGTCTCTCGTACACACTCATAGCCAGACTTGCACCCAGATGGAACAAGGCCGGGCATCTCTTGGTGCAAGGTATATTGCTCACCTGTGTGGGGGAATCAACCATTTCATTTTCAATTCTTTATTATTAAAAAGAAGGAAGGGCCTCTTGGACCATCTTTCATTCTACTAAGCTCCATCTTGGTAGATGTTAGTTCCTTTACATAACATCTCTCTGCTAATTGCTATGTAGGACAATGGTGACTTACCAAAGTATGGAAAAAATAGATGTGTTTCATATAACCATGGTGTAGTTTCCTTATTTCCTGATTAAGTAAAACAGTTTTGTAGATCATTCCTAATACGGAGGAAATGTATTTTTTTCCTAGTCACAATATTAACAGATTATTTTATACAAATAGCTGTTTTTCAGTATCTTCAAAACATATAGCTCCCTGATGAAATCAACTTATTCAGGGATAGCAGCTAAAAGAGCATTAGATTGGTGGCTGATAAAAATTTGACTTCACTGAAACAAACACTGCCTAACAACAAGGTTCCCCTGGGTCTTGCAGCTTGTCTAACCCTATAGGTTGCTAAAACTGGGCAAAACAGCTAAAGCTGAGTAGATCTGCTAAGAAAAGAGTGTGTGGAAAGAGGTTTTGCTTTTTCCTCTATCTGTATTTGACATAACTCTCACAGAAAGTTGATACAGGCCTTCAGTAATCTTAAGGACTTGCCGAGCCAGCCAGTAGGAGATGTGGGATTCTGGTTTCATCAGCAAAGAGACCTATTTTAGGGTCTCTGCCTCACTTTATTTGAAGGGTCTTTTTTATCTTGGAACATTTGACAGATTTCTTTTACAGCACAACTACACAATCAGTTGCAAGTGTGTAGCTAAAAGGGAATAAAATGAGCAGTACAGGGACAAGCAGTTGGGAAGTGGATAAGCAGATGGAAATATTCCCCCGAGGAATTCTTTGAAAATAGGGCCAGAATAAGTGCTGAGAAAAAGTAAAGGTTAGGTTTCTGCCAGTCTGTAGAAAGAGTACTAAGGAGTACCCACACACCCTCAGTTCTTTCTATGATCCTCTCAGTTTCTTCAGATGAACACAGTAGTAATTTGTAGTAGTGCCCAGTTTCTGTCCTACCAGTAAAATTAAAGTGTTCATGTGAAGAACACATAGGAGTGCTAGAGTCACCTACAGTCTACCAGCTTTTAATGATAGGTGGTAAAATATAGTTTGCTTTTGAGGTGTAGAAATTTATTAACTCTTAGTTAAAATTAATTCCATATGCATATTCCTTATTGGGAAAAAGTAGATGTAAACAGTCTTTCTTTCATTTCATGGTAATGGGTTAATGAAAAGTTAATTGATAGAGGGTTCCTTCCCTTTGTGTAAGAAACAAACTTTATAGTAGTCCTGATACATACAAAAGAAACTGTTATCTCTCCATTTTGCTTGCATAAAGATATTGGGCATATGTTTTACAGAATAATATTTGCTTGTTTATTTTTACAAAATAATGTTTACTTATTTATTAAGGGAAGGATTTTTTATCTCATTCAGGAAGGCAAAATGCTGTTGGTAAGTATGATATTCTGTTATGTGTAAACTTTTGTGAGCAAGATGTAATTATGTGCTCTCATGAGCTAAATGTTGCTATGGCCGTGTCATTCCATTTTTCATTCTGAAATAATGACAGGCAAAATACATTTGATGGCAAGTCTTTCTTTATGTGTAGTAGTTGTCAGGTGAGCTGCACCCTTAAGAGGTTACCCACAGAAAAAGGTAATAATCTGTTATTAATTTTACTCCATGACCATAGATGGAAATTTACTATCAAAAAGTTATGATTAATACATTTAAGTGCATTTCCCTAAAATCAGCATTCTTGCAAAAGATGTGGAAATATTAGGTAGGAAACTGAGCTAAAGTGACTATGCATTAAGTCGCCTAGAGCATACTGTTTAGTTATTGCAAAAAAATGAAAGAAATAAGGATTAGGCGTTCAACTCTTGGAGCCTAAATTTGCAGTAGGCACATAATGCATTCAGTCCCTGCGCTTGTTTAAGGCTGGCTGAGTATTCCAGAGGAGTGGCAATAAATGTTTGCCTTGGTCTTACAGCCTTTCTTACTGACCACTACTACTGCATGCTCAGTATTGGGCTACATAAGCTAAGCCAATATTTGTATTTACTTATATGCAATTACTTATATTTGTATCAAAGACATTTGCTTTAAAAGTGGGTATTTGTGTATCCAGGATATGAGTATCAAGCATCCAGTTGCATGGACAGCCATGAGTTATTAGAGAGGTCTACTGTATGGAGGATAGTTCATTATTTTCATAGCTAAAATGCAATTTATTTCTATTTCTGTGCTCAGAGAGGTTTATCCAATGATTTCCAAACTCAGCATTTAAATAAAAAATATTTTAAATAAAAAATCCGTTTATCTTTTGCTTAACAAATGGGCTACTGAGGCACGCTGCTGTGGGCTTTGTTTTTACTTCAGTTATGGACCTGAGTGTATCAGAGACACAGCTTTGCATCAGTGTGGAGGCTTGCTCAGTCCGTCTGCCGCCCCCCGAGGTACATAGCAGCTCTGCTTTCTACAACTTCGTCTTACTTTTCTTTATATTCTCTTCCCTCAAATGACTTGAACTTAGTGGAGATAGAAGTGTTTGTTTCAGGTTGTACTAAGACAGGGATCCTATGAGCTGGCTACACGTATCTAAGTGTGCAACGTCCCGTGTTACATGCCTGTTGATGCATTCTAGCAAGCAAACTAAACTCAACTTTGTAAACTAGAGATTACAGACCAATAAAGAGGCCTTTGGAAAAATACTGTCTGTTTTTAGCGTTGAAGTGTCTTCATGCTTATAGTTGCCTTCTAGGCAACTGGGAAGGCCTCATAGTGCCACCTCTACCTATAGAAAGCTTTGAGTAACAAATGTGAAGCTACAGATCAAGTTGTCAGTGCTGCATATAAGATTGGTGTGTCATTTTTTCCTGGAGTCTTCTGTTTTCTATGCAACTTTCAAAACATGGGAACAGCCTGGACTGTTTTGCTTTTTAGAATAATTAGGAAATGCTTTAGGAAAACGTGGCTAGGATTAAAAAATAACCTTTTTTCCTGATAGGAATGTCGCCTTCGCTAAATATGTTTATACAGAGGGGCTTATTTGTCAGGCTTGCCAGTTTCTTCCAAAATAAGTATTTTTGATCTGAATTCTTCTTTAGAAGAGAACAGAATTACCTTTTGATTTAACTAGACAACATAAATATTAAGGATATATCTTCATGAATCAAATTGCAAAATTACACAAAGCAGTGATAGAAGTGATCACAATGTGGTTTCTCAACTAGTTTTTAATACTTATCTTAAGATTCATGCCTTCCTACTATTCTAAAACAGAAATGGCAAGATTTTCCTTCCAGTGAATTAATGCAAACCATGGCAGACCACAGAGCGAGAAAATATTTCTTAAATCTAAGTCTTTGACTGGATGCTACAGACAAACCTTTGCTTTGTGAAAATATATGGTGTCTCTCGAGCTGCTCACAGGGGAAAGGTGTGTTGTATATCTTGTTATTGCTTTTGCTGGAGGCTTTGCACTTGCTTAGGTAAGTTGGTATATGTAGCAACTAGATTGTCAGGCATGAGTTACTGAATTGAATTTAGAAAAGAAAATACTTGCAGGGAAGTGGGATAGCTGAGGAATTCCTTCTTGAAATAAGATTTGTATCTCATTGATTTAAATAACCTTTAAACCTATATATCATTTGGAAGTGTGGTTATAACCATGGAGATAATATCCTTCCAAAATAAGCAGTCTGTGAGAGCTGATGAATTAATAATAATGTAAGACCTTCAGGGTATTTTAATACACATAATTCTTGCTGCATACTTTTTTTTTTTTTTTTTACTGTTGCAGAATATTTACAAATAACTTTGCTTTCTGTTTTAAGCTGGGAGAGTTTGATATTTCGGAAAACATCTTGAAGATATTTGACAGCAATGAAAACACTGTGGTTGACAGACATTCCATTCTAAGTAACTGGTGCTATGTCTTGCCAAGGTAGGAGTTTAAATTCCAGCAGAAACAAACATTTCCTGGGATACGTGCTATGCAAATTGTGAATTTGATACTAGTGACAAATGGTCCGTTTGATAGTCTGTTTTACCTTCAGGAATCCATTTTACTTTTATTCTCTTATTCTCCTTAAAGAAAAGGCAAAAGAAAAATAATCAGTGAAGGCTACATTTGACATTTAAATTTTATTTTGGTTTTAGTAATCTGCTACTTTGTGATGTGTAAGAGCTTTCTCTCAAGTAGAATTTTATCAGAAAGCATCTATTTAAAGAAAACATATTTCCCCTTTTATCAGAAGTTATCTCTATTTTCACCAATTATTTTTATCACAGCAAAATAGAAGTAATAATATTTTTCACCCTGTTCTGCATTCATTGTAATTGTATAACAGACAAAAAGAAATCATACCTGTAAAGGTCAAACTCTATTCCATATTTCAGGAAAAATATGAACATTGCTGTTGTTCTGTCATTACAGATACTTAAACATATTAGCTAAAGATAATAGTCCTCAAAACATAACAATAATCCATAAATATTTTCAGTGCCAAAAAAATGAGATTTTTTTCCAAAAGTCCAGTGTGTTTTCAACAGTGCTGTACAACATCCTTTCTAAGGATCTTTTCTCTGTTCATGCATAGCATGAAAATGGGTCAGGTCATAAGCATCAGCCACACAATTCCTCCAGAATCTCCTTTTCACACGTATAAAGACTTTCAGATGCACTGGAAGAATCTGGTAAGAAAGAATAGGCTATTTTTAAAATTTTCTCTCCATCTTTCAGTTTGTTGAATTTGTATTTTTACATGTAAATTTGTATTTTTATACATATTTCTAGTATGGATATATTCTTCCAGAGAATTCTGAAGAGACAAAAACATACTGCAGTGTTTACTTCAAGCCCATAGGGGAAAGACTTTTTACGTATCCTTTGTGTATATTTTTGTTATGCCTCCTTCACTACTGCTCATGCTAAGTTCTAAATTTTCATCTTGGAATGTGCTGCATTTGCTTCTTACAGAAATTTATCAGAGTCAGTGAAATTGTTTCACTAGGCAAATTGGAACAAAATATGAATCTCTTTGTATTGAGTAATCTTAAGTCAAATAGATTGCTTGGCCTCACAACTTCTGGAAACACAGTAATGCCATTCTGAACAGAGACCTAAAAGGAACAGTTAAGTCTCACTAAAAAAAAAAAAAGTCTTTACAAGATTCAATTTGAAGTGAGTTTTCCTGCTAGGAAAGACTAGACTAAAGAATATTCAAGTTGAGCAAGCCTGGTTAGTACAGTATAAACTTATTAAAGTTCTCTAGCTTCTAAAGCTTTGGTTCTTTAAGAAAGTAAGTGCTTTATTTTCAGATTTTTGAAAAAGCTTTAAACATTTGCATGCTTTCTTCCAAAAAAGACGATTCAAAGTTATAGAAATGTAAGGAACTTTGTTATGTCTCCTGAACACTTATTCAGGTACCCTTTAAGTTGCATTCGAAGTCAACCCGTGCAGTATTTCCCTCGAGTAGATTTAGAAAGTGTGTTGAACTCTTTTGTTTCTGACATGAGGTCTAATCTTCCGTGTCTGTGTGGATTTCCAGTAAAGATGACTACCAAAGCACTTTATGCCACACAGGAACTCTCCAGAGCTCTAGTACGTGCAAGTCTTTTATATCCATATGAATGTACGAGTGTTCATGCTATGAGGTGATCTTTATTGTGTTCAGAACACCTGAGAGCATAATAGTATCCTTTTCTCAACAAACAATTGTTAGTATTGTACCCCTTAATTAAGGTGTAGTTTAATATTATAAAACTGTTTACATCGTTATATTCTTGTTTGCACAAGTGTATACAAAAATGTAAGTTATCTTAATTACTTGCTATCAATGTATGCAGTCCTGACGTACTTCTTTACAGTTGTTCCCAGAATATTCTCTTTCCTCTTCCATAATAACAATTTTTGTGTGATTTATTTCTACAAAGGAAACTGCAAAAAAGATAAAATTGTGTGGACATTTAAGCATTTAAGAATACTCAGGCTGTACGTTTTACTTTGCGGCAAGTGATAGAAAGGAAGAGAGCAATCTCAACTTTCATTTGAGGTTGCAAAAGAGGCTGAAACTGAAATTTCCTCATAAGTCATATTTGAAAGAAGTAATGACAGAAACTGCGGAGTCTAAAATACTATAATCCTCTTTCAGAACACAATTCCTGTTTATGTCACTTCAGTGATCAAAGCTAGAAGGGCTTCTCCTTGTCTTCAGCAATTTTTAAAGACACCGAGACTGTCTTTTGCTTAGACTAGAAATGCTCTTAGAAGTCATAAAAGACAAGGAAAGTAGTCAGACAACTCTGCAGACTCTCTGAAAGTGCTAAGCAATACCACACTGGAAAGCACTAAACCAAGATAATGCCTAAAATTTACATCTTCCCTTCTGCTGAGAAATAAGATATTCTCAGTGTAGTTTATGAATCTAGAACTGGGGGAGGAGAAGACAAATGCATTGATAGTGACCACAAAATATTGTTTAAATCATTCTCTTTTAAAGCAGGAAACTGTATGTTTTATATTGTGATGCAAACTGAGTATTATATTATGTAGTGATGCATGAGGTGACACTTTGAGATATTTAAACCCAGTTCATTTAATTGGGCAACCACTGTTGTATTGCAGGAGATAAAATCTAAGCGTATGACATTGGCTGGTGAAGTGGTTTGTGCATCATCTCTAAGCCAGGCTCCTCCAAGGAAAGAGACTTTTCCTAGTTCCCTGCGCAGTATGGAAAACAGCCACTGGATGGAGCATTTGATCAACGAGCCAAAAACACGTATTTCTTTGAGTATCAGTAAAGGTGTGGGAAAGGTTAGCACTGAAGCAGTGCAGAAATCAGTGAGTAACAGGCAAATGCCAGGAGTATCCGACTTACAAGTTCACTCTCCAAAATCTTTAGAAAGGCCTCAAAGTTCAGCCGTTGGCTCCCCCCCAAAAACTGTTAACAAAATTATACCTATTTTCAAAGGAAAGTTGATGCAAATGAATGGAAAAAACACAAGACAGACTGATGGGAAGAAAAAAGAATTTTCTGAGAGACAGTCAGTAAAAATTATGGATACTTCATCATCTGTGCTGACAGCATGCAAGTCCAGCATAACTCAGGTTTACAAACCTATTCAAAACGTGTCAGTCAAAAATCCTACTCCCAGCAGTGCACTTCAAACAGTAACAGAGAAAACATATTTAAAACGTGGTATATCTGTATTTCAGTGGAAAAGAGAGTCTGGTAGACAAACAACTAAATCTGATTATTCTGATAGCTCTCCTTCAGGTGGGAATTCAAGTAAAGTCATTCACAGTAAGAAAAATTCTCCTTCATTACCTAAGAATGCTATGTCAGTGGTTCAGAAATCAAACATCAGTGGGAGTGTGAGTACATGTGCAGCTCTTACTTCCAGTACAAAAAAGGGGAAAAAGTTTACAAGTCAAAGTACCACACAAGTTCTTGAGAAACAACGCAACTCACAGAAAGTACAATTGCAGATTGGCAAATTAGACACTGAAATGACAAACTCTGGTTTATCACAGCGACAAACAAAAAGATCAAATGAAGGAGCAGGGTTAAATATTCATGAATCCATCTCACATGATGCCATGTGCACAGAAAAGAACGAGGAACATCAAAACTCATCCCGTTACAAGGACTGCCTCGCTAAGGCAGCCGGTCGTTCAAAAGTTAGCAATGAGCAGGTATGGTAAATACAGCAGGCATTCTTCCTGGGTTTCACAAATTCAGTATATCCTAGAAAACAACAAGCAATAAAGAGCCTGACTTTCATCATATTCTACCGTCATTCTCTCTGTGTAGTTTTCTAAATTTCTACGGCATATGTTAATGTTTTCAGCCTCTGCTATTATTTTTTTTTCCTAAAAAGGAAGAACACTCACTTTGTCATCTGAGATCAATACACTTATTTAGGCTTTTTTAATATAATTAGTTTTCATATTTTAAAACTTTTTATTAAACCAGACTGAGATTTGGATAAAGCTAATATGGTAACATTTTCCATGTTCCATGTTCAGTCTGTCTTCATGCAAATCTGTATTAATAAGTAGATCCTGAAAAGAATCTTAAATCTCATCAGTTGTGTTGATCTTGCTGTAGTGACTGTAAGGCATAGGGCTCTTAGACAAACATAAAAGAATTAAATTATTATTTTTTAAAACTTAATCAAAGTTTCATTAAATTACAAGCTGCTGTAGGGGAAAATCCTACTGATTTAAAGGAAAAAATATTCAGAGTGAGAGAAGTCAGTCACTGGAACAAGTTACACAGAGAGGCAGTAAAACTGTTGCTCTTGCAGATTTTCAAAACTTGGCTGGCCAAGGACCAAAGCGGTCTGATCTAACTTAGTTAGCTCTGCTTTGAGTAGAAGTTAGGATGAGCTGGCCTCCAAAGGTCCCTTACCAGATGAACTTTCCAGATTCTGTGACTGTTTTTCAGTAGAGCAAGTGCCCAAACTGAATTCCGTGCTGTTTTTGTGTGGATGATATCCCGCAGACTGGGCACTTGAATGATGTCTGTTGCTCTTATCGCTGTTTTCATGTATAAAATGTGATTGGGTAGATGATTTCACATTTGTGTTATGAGGGCATCTTTGGTATTCCATGAGTACAGTTCTTCAGGTCTATTAGTTCTTAAATGTCCAAGCATCCAGAAATAAAAAGCACCAGATTATTACAGTATGACAGACACAGAGTAGCTGTTTAGAATGACAAGACCTACAGCAGTATCTAACAGGGATAAGCAAGTTTGTGAAGATGAAGTGTGGTTTGGGGAGCAATTAAGTTATCTGTACAGTTCACATTGGTGTTAAGTACTGATGGGATGCACTGATGAGGTCAGACAAAATTTATTAATGGAAGACACTGATTTTAACTAGTAGAAAATGCTGGATTTTTTTTTTTGCTGTAAACTTTTTTTATAAGATTTTTACAGGGAATGAGCATCTGAAATGTGAAATGTCGACCTCAAAACAGACTTACTCAATGAAAGGCAGCAATGTGGAAGCACCTGTAAAGAAAGATTGTGTCAAAAGAAGGCAGGTAAAAAAAACATACAAGCCATCTCCCTCCCCCATCCCAACCCTCTCTGCCTCTGATTTGGTCTACAAGGATTTAAATTAAGAGATAAAAAAGGTAAATACATGTTTTGTCATGTTTGTATGTTCCAGTTAAATCAGGGAAAGCAACAAAATCTTATTGATCCTACTCTAAATAAAGTTAGCCTCCTCCATCAGTTATGTTAAATATTGTATCAAGTGCATGTTTAAAATACTTGTTTTGTGCAGAAAATGGTGCTGAAATTACAAGGCTTAGTGTAAAGGTTTTTGAAACAGATATTCTAGTTCTACAAAAAACAGTTTTATCCTGCCTAATCTATAACTATGGGCATTTTCCTAACCTATGTAAGTGTCCAAAGTGTATAAAAGTTCCCAAGAGTTCATTGTAATTCATTCTTTTTTTTTTATAACTTATATTCTCTTAATTATTTAATATATTTCAGTTGCTAGTGACAGAAATGGTCAACAGCAACAATTAGATAGGCTCCTCATTATGCTTTAATTTTTATATAATTTCTTCTGTCTAACATTAATAGTATGTACTTCTAAAGTCCTAAGTTTTGCTTCTAAAATCTTAAGTTTTGCTTTTATCCACCCATGGGCTGTACTTCTATTTCTGACTGTCAGTTCTTGAATATTCAGTAGCCTCTTTCCTCTCCTTCTCCTTGCAGCCACATTGGTAATAGTTTTACTGTCTAAAACCGAGGCAAATAGGTTGATGTGGGAACGGTGCCCCAGCCCTGGCGAGCCAGCCCAGGTCCCGTCCCCACTGCCGATGCTGGAGCTCCGGGGCAGGACATGGCTCCGGGCTGGGAGCAGGATCTGCTGACTGGCTGGGGATGGGCTCTGCAGTGCTTGTCTCTCATGCAGTTCCCCTTCCTCCCAAAATAACAGAGAATGGGACTGAATCTTGCTGTATGCCGTGGGCATGCCAGTTAGCACTTCTCTGAAAACTCAACCCTTATCATTATCTCTAGTTTGGACACCAAAACTGATCAGTTGCTTCTGGAAGTCTTGGCTGTCAGTGCTTACAAGGCTATTTTCAAAATAGCTCTGGTTTTAATTATGTTTGTATTGTATATATGTTCCTACCTTACATGAGATTTACACTGATTAATATAAGTGTTTATTTTCCATTTCTGATACCTCTTAACGAAGAATTTCTCTCAAAAAACCTGTTGGTTGAGTTGATAGCTTAGTGTTACTACTTTGCTTTACTACTTTTCGGTTGTTGTTTCTTGTTACAGAAAGAAGAGGGCTCTTCAAAATTAAAGAAAGCCAAAAGAAGTAAGTCTTCTGTTTAGGAAGTTCTGAAGGACTGCAGGAAAACTCTGGGTATGCTCTCTATTAATTTGAAAGATTTTTTTCCCCCTTTTTTTAAAAAATCCTACATGTCTATAATAGCTTCCTCTGATCTTCCTATCAACTATCTCTAAAGGAATCACTGCTTTAAATGAGTAGTTCCCAGAAAAATATAATAATGTAACAGCAGCCAAGATTCATTGCCTTTTTTTTGATGAAAAGAAAGAAGTAATGTTAAATACAAAGGTTTCTTGTCTTTAGTAGTATGCAGAATTTATTTTGTGTGTTTTTTTTCAAACTGAAATAAACCTAATTTCTGTGCTGCTGATTTTCATTTGAACCTGAGCTAAAATTAAGAGCCTATAACCATTAAGGTGAAACTATGTATATCATTTAATATTGTGACATGATTGGCAAGATGCTAAAATCTAATCCAAGGACAAAATGACCTGTTTCACAAAAATAAAATCAGTTTTATAGACAGATATTTGAATTAATACTTCCCACATCACAAGAAGTTGTTGATGTTAGCCTTGTAGGACAGCACAAGCTTTTCCTTGGAATACTAAGGATTTATATACCAAATGAGAACCACTAGTGTTAACTGATCAATTAACCTATTGCAAGCTTTCAGTAGTAAGACATGCGGGAAGGAGTACCCTGTGCAGGTAAGAGTTTCAGAGATAAGTAGAAGTGTATGCATTCAAAAGAAAATATAAGAAAGACCATCACAAAAACACAAGTGGGCAAAATGATGGGCAAAACACCCATTGTAGAAAACAAATGGAAAAAATAATAATAAAGAAGCAAAATATAAAGTGTTTCTTTATATTGGTTTCTTCATAGGTGTTGATTACTTATAACTAGAGCTAAAATAACTTCTGCTATCCAATTGATGCCTACAGTTTTGACACTAAAATGCTTTGCTCTGCATTTCTTTATGATATATTGTACACTTGCATTCACAATACTTATTTTCATTTGAACACTTGAGAATTACTTGTAAGTTTTCAAATTTACTGTGTTGCAAAATTTATGGGTGAGAAGTTTTTACAGTGAAATTTAATGATGTAGTCTACAGGAAGGACTTGGATCTGTAATTCGTGAGTGTGGTTTTTTATTATTTACAATTTCTTGAAAAAAGGGCCATTTTTTGACTAATGCGTGCCAAGTTACACAGTCTGCTAACTAGGCCAGGAAATAGCAATATATTCTTAATTTTCTTCTCAGTTTTGTTGGTGAAAATAGGGAATGTGTTAATAAAATTGAGGTTATAAAGCAATACAAGAGAAGCTTTTTAAAATGGCTAACATTTGATTCTAGCACTACATCATTCTCATTTATTCTGTTCGCATACAGGTATATATATTCAATCCTCCACACTTTGGAGAAGTATTGAGCTTTTCCTTGGCATAAAGGGAGTTCTGAGAAATTAAATATGTGTTCCAATCTGAGATTAAAACCCATGTATGAAAAGGTTCTAAGACCAATCAGGAAAGCAGAGCTTCCAAAGAAGAGTATACACTACCACAGAAAATAAATATTTTAAAAAAGAATTGGAGTCATTACAGACACTGCTGTTAGGATAGATGAACTTAAAAAGGCAGACTGGAAGTGCCCAAACCCTTCCTGTTTATCACAGAACTCTCTCTGTTGCTCTAAACCTGTCTTATCATATGATCCAGATCTTTGGTTTTAGTTACCAAATTTCATTAAGCTAATGAGAAGCTAAAAATTCATTTGATGTAATAATAGTCCCTGAATGTAAAATGTACATGTAGTAATTTTGATTAGATTAAATGTAACTGCTACCATTGCTGAAAGGATATCATATGAACACAGGGTGAAGCTGGGGATCCACACAACCAGTTCTCAGGAGTTTTGTATATAGACAATAGACTGGATTGTTTCTGCTAAAATGTGGATTGCCCCAAGCCAATATTTAAGACTTTCCCTTCTACTTGAAAGAATGTGGTATAAAAATTTCAACAAAGCCATCTTTCAAATTGTTTCTGATTGTGAAATGCCAAGTTAAAATAATTCCTTCCTACCTACCATGTTAATACAATAGCTTGATTTGGTTTTATGAATGAAGAGATTTTTTAAACTTTAAAAATGCATGGAAATTGTATGAAAATATTTCTGAAAAATATGTGGACTTCCAATGAAAAAATAACTTGTGACAGTGGCAAATTCATTTCCCAATACTAAGATCTAGTATCGGATATACCCTTTGGAGTGTGTGCACTGGTGGTACCTAAATACCTAAGCTTTATCAAGGAGAAAACTTTTTTCGTGTTTTGTGTAAAAATAGAAAAATTTAATTAGCATGCTATAGATACTGTAACAAAATGAAAACAGAATGAAATTATGAATGCCAAAATACAGTGCCTCTGTCTGGTTGTTGATCATACCGTTCTGAATAGTCTTTTTTGTGGGGAGGTAATCTAAAACTTTATTCTATGTTTTCCTCCATTCAGGTTCCCAAGGGGGCATGAACATGTTTGAGGCTGCTCTGGGCTTCATGTCTTTGCTCTCTATATTTCACATTGTTGGTACCTGTCTCTGTATGAAAAACTGAGGGTTAGATACCAAGTGAAGCCATATACCAACATCTCCTCCAGACAACTGAGGTTAAAGAACCTCCAATGGATTTGGAAATTTAGCAAACTGTTTAGAGTTTTGGAATCATACTGTGTCTGTCCTAGTACTTGCTTACATACTTTCTCACTCTTCCAAGTGATTTTGCAGTTTCAGGTTTGTCTTTTTTCATGACATAATTGTATTTAATTTTTTGTTACAATGTCTAAAGCTCTTTGTTTCATCACTGAAACATTCCTAAATAAATTCTCAAGTCAAACAGTTAAGAACTAAGTAGTGTCATTTTTTTATTAGGGGAACAGTCTGAATGCTGCATTTGATTCCTGATTCTTTAATTCTTATTATGATTTTAAATGAGTTTCTGTTCTCAGAGGTAAAACTAATACCTAAAGGATTTTTCTAAAATTCAATTGATAACATCCTTAAGGAAATCACACACACAAAAAATGCCATTTGAATAATTTTAGTAGAATAAATATAACTTCAAAGATCTGCTTGAAGACCTACGAATTACAAAAATATGTACACACACATACATATATAAATATATATATATGTGTGACTGTTGCCCCATAGTTGCCATTTCTAAATGTGTGCTATTGTGTTATATAATATTCAGAAGTGTCACAATGCTAGTTCCTATATTGAATGGATATGCACACCTGTAGTTCAACATTTATTTTGGATATACACTTGCAAAAACTCTTTCCTACAGGAATTGGAAGACTGGATTTGTTTTTTTTTTTATTAAAACTTTATTGGTTTATATTGCCATAATTGTGTTTTGTATTTACCTCACTTTTCAGATTAGGATATTTCCCTGCTGGAGTCAAAACTTCTGTTTCATTTCCTGTTCTCCAATAGTGGCTCTTAGCATAGCTCTAACTTAATGGTGTCAGCTTTCGGCAGCAAGTGGGCACGTCATCAGAATATGATTTTCTTTTAGGTGTTTCTCATGTGTTTCTCAATATTACAAAATGTTCTCATATTACAAAAAATGAGAACAAATATGCTCAAATTGGTTATCTAAGAAAGAAATCTAATCATATCTGTATTTTGCCTGGATATTGGTATGCAGAGCTATTTTTCAAATGCTATAGAATAGTTATTCTTTCATAGCTTGACTATTTATCTTTTTCTTGTTTTAAAATGTGAAAGAAAAGTGATGAGCAGTTGCATTTATTTTATATTGCATAAGCTAGAGCATGATCTGAACTATTTCCTATTGTTGCTTTTTAAAAGCTGCCTATTGCCAACATTTGCCTTGTATTTTATTGTGACAGAGGTTATTTTGCATTATTCTCATATTTTTAAATTTTTGCACCACGTTACCTCACCTATTATAATAAGATACAAAAAAAAAAAAAAACCCACCAGATCTGATTTGTTCCCTTTGAAATAAGCTGATGAATAACGTGTCTGTGCTAAAGCCGTTTCCGGGGGGCAGCGCGCCTGCCAGCCCGGGCCCTGCGTGTTTATGGGTGCTTGTAACAGCAGGAGAGCCTGCTGTTCAGCTCCTTTCGTGCGGGTTTTGGACCAGCTTGTGCACTTTGCAGCCCATTCAAAAATAGTCACATGAAGGCCTCTAGGAAAAAAAAAGCGAAGTGTCCTTATATCAAACAATAATTAAATACAATAATTTACTAATCTTGGGCTGTATCCTGTTTTGCATCAACACGCTGCTCCTGTGCTTCAGGGAGAAGTGTGTACTGAAGAATTTTTGTGGCATCCCTCAGAGGAAACTCACTCATGGTGATGCTGAAAAAGATGCTGCATCATTTCTCGTGTAGAACTGCGATGTTTTGCTTTGGTAGCGCCCAGGCAGCACAGGGCCACGGCCCAACCTCATGCCTTAACCTTGGCCGCCAGGCCCAGCAGCCCTGATGATTGCCCTGGGATCGCTGCAGAACTTGAGGCAGCATCTGAAGAGCTCAATCCCGCCATGGTAGTGTGAGACTCTGGGACAAAGCAGTCTTAGTTAGCTAGAAAATACATGAAAATTGTTCCCAAAGAGCTTACATCTCTACCAAGATCACATACAGCTTCTTGCAATGATTTTTACTGTTTTTTTTTTAATGGCAATAAATTTCATATACAAGACATGATATGCAAGGCCTGATTTAGGCATGTTCCAATGAGGCAAGTTTCAAAAATACTGGAAAACAGCATGTGCAGTCTTCTTGCAGGAGGAATCTCCTTGTCCAGCATCCAATAATCACTTTCAAGAGCAGTTAGATATTTGTTTCAGCAGCCCAATAGGGGCATATACGCACATATGTGTGTGTATGCGTATATAGGCATACACCCACACAAGCTATACTGCATTACACTGGTTAAAAATATGCAGGGTACGTGTTGAAAACTGTTGGTTTAGAGCAGAGAGGTGACATTGGCCAGCAGCATGTGGTAGTTCCTGTCGCCACATACCACAGGGCTGCTATGTAAGGGATAATCTCCAGCCTGTGGCTCCAATTCAGGATGTATTTACATCAAAACTTGGTTCCTTTAACTGTGTCATCTGTAACAGTATATGAGTTTATTAATAGTTGACTTATTTAAATTGTAGTAGATTTTAATTGTCAGTCATAATAGTCAGCTTTTGTAGTCAACTAGGTAAAAGGTATCTATTCTTATAGTGGTGATATGGTGCTGGCCTCTTTCACTGGTGGCCATGGACAGAACGGCCGGAAACTGAGGCGTCAAAAGTTCCACAGGAACGTAAGGAAAAATTGCTTGACAGTGAGAGTAACAGAGCCCTGGCACAGGCTGCCCAGAGAGGTTGTGGAGTCTCCTTCTCTGGAGATCTTCAAAACCCGCTTGGACGCAGTCCTGTGCCACGTGCCCTAGGTGACCCTGCATGTGCAGGGGGGTTGGACTAGATGATCCGAAGAGGTCCCTTCCAACCTTAAGCATTCAAAGCATATGGCATAAATATATATGCTCACACACATACAATTTTAGGTATTATACATTAAGAATAGATGCAGGTACCCTATTAAATATTTATGTTACATTTTTTACCATATTATGTCAAGATGAACATGCTTTGCATCAACATATGATCCCCATGCTGGATAAATGAAGCAAAGTTCAATCTCTGGCGAGGAGGAGAGAAGGTATGATAAGTCATAATTCAGTATAATATTGTGTAGTTTTTATTCTTCAACAGAAACTTTGATCAAAAATATCAGAATGTTTCATTTCTTTTACCACTATTTATTTGGTGGAGAGCAATAGGAGAAAAAGAAAAGCTGGCTCTGCAATGCAGATGCCATTTTGTAGGTTACTGCATCTTTGCATAGATACAAGCACCATTGTAAAAAGCGGAGCTTCGCATACATTCAAACATTTGTTAGCAAGCACAGTTCTGTAGTGCTCTTTCTATCAAGAAAAAAGGTTTGAGTGGCTCATTTCCATCAGGTTGTATTTCCTGCGAGGGCAGGCCCTTTGAAGGCCGACAAAAGCATATGGTTTCACCTCACATCTCACGGCTCCGTTAGGACTGGAGTGCCCCATGGACAGCTCGCCTTGTCCCACAGGCCGAACGCAGGAGGCTTACGTTTAGTCCTCAGGTACTGGCTGGCCATTCTGCCTCTGCAGCCTTTTTAATTTAGAGAGAATAACAGAAAGGTGAAAATTCTGCAAACCAGTAAAGACAGAGTGAATGCTTTCCAGTAATGGGAAACGCACAGCTCCAGCGCCCGGGCACCATGCCAGCCGGCTCGCATGTGTCTTCATTAGCTCTCCGGTTAGAGATGAATCGACCCACGAGGGCTCCGGTAGCGTGAACCGGCATTCGGGGAGGGAATGAGGAGCTTCAGCCGCAGGATTTCTCCCGTCTCGGGCACACTGGACGTGCTGTGCCTGGCACACGTGCGTCTGGTTAACAGTGGCGTCCTGAGGTGCCTTCCCAAGCCCTGGCCTCGCTGGCACAGCCGGACCCGGCACTCCGGAACCACGGGCAGACAACTTCGCTAAGGGGGAGGGAAGGGTTTATTCTGGCTTGCACATTTGATATATGACTGCGGAGAGGAATTAATTTTAGATGAATCCACAGTAGCTTCTTTTCTCCATTATAAATTGGTGATAATGAACCAGCCGGATTAACGATTCATTTCATGGCAACTTCATAATAGTTATGGTGGGAGTCCCAGTTCTTTTTAATTCTGTGACTTTATGCAGAAAAGTCTTCATCTTATTGATTTTTTTTCAAATATTCCTGTTTTAAATTGGAAAGTTTAAGTCTTTTTTTTTCTGCTTTGCTTAACGTATTTGCTCTTTTTTTTTTCCCAAACTTCAGTCAAAAATGTTCTGTTTTCGTGATGCTGCCTGTGGTTTTTGAACCCAAGATGGAGTTTTAAACAGTTTTCTAGACAACAGTGGAGGATAACGTAGTCGCAGGAAGGTCCCTGTAGACCAAGCAGAAGAATAAAGACAGGCACAAAAAGGAAACTACTGTCATGAGCCGAGCCTGTTCCCTGACACGCAGAGGAGGTGTTTTTTTTTTCCCAAACTTCAGTCAAAAATGTTCTGTTTTCGTGATGCTGCCTGTGGTTTTGAACCCAGGATGGAGTTTTAAACAGTTTTCTAGACAACAGTGGAGGATAACGTAGTCGCAGGAAGGTCCCTGTAGACCAAGCAGAAGAATAAAGACAGGCACAAAAAGGAAACTACTGTCATGAGCCGAGCCTGTTCCCTGACACGCAGAGGAGGTGCCTGTCCGCCTACCCGCTCCACACTCGCATCTCACCCTACCGTTACCTGCCCATCAGCAACGGGATAATGCTGCAAGTACCAGTCGTTAATTTTTAAGGCATTTTTTTCCTGCCATTCGAAGGAAACTATCAGACTTTGTGAATCGTGGAACAGAGCTCTCAGACTGCCAGAAAGACGTTTTTATTTTCGTCTCTCTGAAGACCGGTATCTGTTTAAGTTAGAGCAGTGCTCATTTACTGTGGAGATTCACACAGTACCCAAGGGAAATTTGATGCAAAGTTTAGCTCCTTCAAATCAACTGCAAATGCTCATTGCTTCATAATCAGGAGAAGTTTCAGAATAATAGCACAGCATCCTTTTAACATGATCACTGAAATAAAAACAAAAAAGAGTTTAGCATAGAGTGTATGAAAGGTCTTCGGGATTTCTGTGACCATAACAGAATATTTAGGCAGTCACTTTTTTTTTTCCCAATTTAATAAATTTAATTATTCACTTTTAATTATTAACATCACATAAGCTCAGAAGGTCTCTATAAATTTGAAAACCTAACGATCACTGAATATGCCACCTCCTGCTCTTATTAGCTTGTGCTCAAATAGAAAGGAGCAACAAGTGGTTGGAATAAGCTGCTAAATATCAATGCTTGCAACTCAACTTGGGTCCCCCCGATTCCCATCATGTGCCTCGCATGTGGGATCGCTCACTTTGTGCTTATGACCTTGCTTCATTCCGGCCGGTTAAACAATCATATTTAATTCTGCATTATTTCCATCACTCACCTCTGACAGCTCCTCCAGCTTCCAGCTACATCCTTTTTATGCCCAAAGATTGGATTGCCAAAAAGGATATTCCTCCCATTCCGTGCGGGGGTATCTGGCAAGGGGTCCTGGAGCAAGCCAGGAGCGGGAGGTGGAGGAGCTGCAGGTACCAGGGAAACCTCCCCAGGCAGCCAGGGACCACCTAACCAGGGCGTTTGCCACAGCTGCGCCTCCTGCCCCGGCTGGGCCCCGCAGGGGCCGCCACAGCCGTCCCCACGAGGTAAACACGCAGCTGAGGGGATGGCGGAGGAACGCGGAGAGGGTGGATGCACCAGTGGTGCCAGCCGCCACCGCGGCAGGAAACTAGTTTCTCTGTTTTCAGTCATTTTTTTCCTTCCCTTTATTTCTTAGCCCTCATCGTGGGCTGGGATTTCACAGGCCATTGAGGCCGGGAGGGTGGGGAGTCAGTGCAGGTTTAGCCTGGACCATGCCAGAGGATTTGGAGCTTTGCAGGGAGCCAAGTGCCCCGGAGGGCCGTTGCGCAGGTTCGGGAGCGCTGCAGCCACGGCTGCCCCCAGCCACAACCTACCGGGGGGTGCAGACACAGCCCGAGAGGCGAAGCCGCTGCCCAGGCGCCGCGCGAGCTGCCGGCCCCTGCGAGACCGGGCCCCAGGCTGTTCCGGGCGCTCGGGGCGCCGGCGGCACCGCTTGGGGAAATCGGTTCTCATGCCCCTCGCTCCCCTGTTTGTCAGCACGGCCGCACTGACCCAAATGAAAACAAATGACTTCGGGAAGGAGGACTTCCTGTTGCAAAAACTCACCCACAGTCTGCATGGAAAGCACCGGGAATATGTGAAACACAATCAGATCAAAACAAAGCCCAGATGACTTGGGGAGACCAAAGCAGCATTATCTTTTCTTTTTTATTATTCAGTCCAAGAAGAATTTTAATCTGCTGCAGGCAAGCTACAGAAATAGCAGTTATGTTGTACCCTGCAGAAAAGGTGCGACAGATTCACGTATCTGGGCTGCCTTGGATTTAATTCAGTTGTGTGAAGGAGCAGAACCTGGTAACTGCGCTCCCTGTGACTGGCTCCTTCAAAGCGATGAGTTATAGGCACTGTTCTCCCTTGGAAAACAACAACAGAAAAAAAATAGATTATTATTACTATTATGATAGATCTTACCTAGGGATTCTGCTTTGAAACTCCTATTAGAAAGGTGACAGCAAGTTTCTACAGTAGTACATTGCTTTTGCATCTTTTCTTTTTGTTTGTGGAAGTTTGTTCTTCCTCTGCATTTGCCCTTGGGCTGTGTCCCTGGTTTTAGATCTTTGTGGGCTGCATTTGTGGTCTGGAGGATTGACAAGACTTTGTTTTTTTGTCCCAGGCTGTTGGTGTGCCCTTGTGGTGCCCTCCCTCGCACACACTGGCCAGGAGCCTGCCCTGGGGCAGTGGCATCTGCGCAGCGAGTGACCTTAGAAATTCCTGATTCGGAGGGGAATGTGTAGAAGAAATGTTTATGTAAAAGCAGGAAAATGTACATTAGCATTTGAAGCAAAACTTCCATTGCAGACCTGTAGACTCAGTTTTTCTTCTCTGTGGTGCTTTTGCTGCATTATTTATCTATCTACCTATCTATCTACCTATCTATGTATCTACCTATCCATCCATCCATTCATCTATCTATCTACCTACTTACCCACCTACCTACCTATTTATTTGTAATTCCTTCCAGGCATCTGAGGCCTCTATTTTTCTGTCCATCTGGATTTCAGGGCATAGCTGACAAAGAATAAACAGCTTTCCAAGGAAAATTCAGGAACGGTGGTGTCTTGGCGGGGTTTTAGATTTTTTTTTCATTCATTTTTTAAGACTGGTGAATTTTTAAGTTCATTTTCACAGCCTTTAGCCTGGCAGAGCCTCTGCTGATCTTCCTTTGGTGACTGCAGGGCTGTCCTGGCCTGCTCCTTGGGCTGTGGATTTCTCTAACCACCTTTGTAAGCAGTTGCTGGAAGGAGGGAAGAATGAAGGCACAAAGCAAAAGCACAAATGCACAGATTTTTGTATTTTGCCAGTTGTCATTAATGCTTGCCTAGAGAAAAGGTAAATTAAAGTTAGACTATATGCCTATATTGTGTTCCCTTCCTTTTAAAGTGCTGTAATTTAAATTACCTTTATTATTATTGAGTTCATTTAAATAAATGTATAAAGAACTTACAATAAGAAGTGCTAACAGATACATTCCTACAGAGCATTTTGCTTGGCTGCGCAGAGCTTAAAAATGCATGACCCAGACTTACCAAAGCTGCCTTACTTCATGAACAAGACTTAGCAAGAATAGATGGCTTGAGGCCAAAACCGAGCAGATCTAATTGAGGAGCAAGTGAGAGTGATTAGCCATTGGAACAAGCTGAGAAGAGGAGTGGAGTGTTTTCCATGTCTGGATGTCTTCATGTCCACAATCAAATCTCACATGAAGGAGATGAGTAATCAAGCAAACATTTGGGGGGCCTCGACAAAGGGTGACTGGATGGAAGTCAGTGGCCTGTGATCTCCACAAGATTGCAATATTTAATAATTCCTTCTGGGCTTAAGTCTGAGTTCAGGGTGAAATAAAATACAGATAAAGTGAGCATGACCTTTGGAGCCCTGAATTCCTTTGCAGGCCTTTCCTCTGAGTCTGCCAAACTCTGAGTATCGAGTAGGTATGGAAATCGCTTTGAACAAGCCCGCTTCTGAAAAACTGCTGAGAAGGTCCTAGGGGATGTCCCAGGAGGCATCTCCAGGTGGACGTTTCTCACAGTCGGGAGCAGCTCTGTTTATTCAGTGGGGCCGTGAAGCAGCCCCGCTTGAGCCGGCGTGCGCCCTCCTCAGCCCTGCGTGTCCCGGCCTTGCGGGTGTCACTCTGAGGTAATGTTTTGGCCTGGTAAGTTTTACGTCAAATTTTTGCATCAAATGTAAATGTTAGCAGGATTTGCTTGTCTTCATGTCCCGCTTAGGCAAATCCAAGGACAGGCAAATGGATTAAGCAAACTGGTACCTATCAGGTGATGGCCTATAAGGCCATCCCAAATGTCTCCCAAAACACATTTGCCATTTAAGCATTGGTTCATTTGACAAAATATTTTCACAGAATCATGGAATCACAGAATGGTTAAGGTTGGAAGGGACCGCTAGAGATCATCTAGTCCAACCCCCTGCTCCAGCAGGGACACCCAGAGCACATAGCACAGGGTGGCATCCAGGCGGGTTTGGAAGATCTCCAGAGAAGGAGCCTCCACAATCTCTCTGGGCAGCCTGTTCCAATTTTATCAATTTTACAATTTAATCAATTGATAGAACAGAGCTGTCAGAAGTTAAGGCAGAAGAACAGGTTATTACAGAGAAAATAAGCCATTGCAAACACTCCACAGTTATGTAGGATGATGGCAGCCTCCATTCTGAGCCCAGCAGATAAATGCTACTCAGGATTGCACCGGGTACACTGCAGTGGGCATTAGAAACACAAATAACCCACGTAAATGACAGTTCTGTGATAATAACTTTAAAAGAGAGTGTAAAGTATATAAACAGTATATAAAGTGTGTTTATGAGCAGCATTGCATCTTCAGGCCTTATGTAACAAATGAATAATAATTAGGGGAAGAGCATTCAGGAGCTTTTCTGTTCACAGTAAATTATTGTTTGTGAGCTATTCAGCTGTTTAAACCTACTTCTGTAGTGTTTTTCTTGCAAAATAAGCAGATGCATGATTTAATTTCAGACTAGCACTCTAACTAGATGTATTTTTTTCAAAATTAAAAAGATAAATTGGTACCTTTGCTCAGTGGATTCCTGTGATGTAAAGCTGCAGCAAGATATCCCCCTTCTTATCAGTATGCACTGCTTGCTTTAAATTACTAACTTCTGAAACACTTTCTCAGACACATCTGAAATAGAATATTTCATGTGGAAAGAAATGAGTTTATGAAATCCTTTTAATTATTTTAGTGAAAAGATGAAAATCTTAGTCTTTCTCATCCCACATCCATGCCTTAACTTAAAAGAATATAAAAAGATTAATCATTTTCATGCCAAATACAGAACAAAGAGTATTTTTCCTTTTTCCCGGCACAGTCTGAAAGCCATCACACTCTCCCGCCCACGGGAGTGGAACATTGTCAAATACAACCTGAGGATCTGATGCGGCTCTCGCTTCTGGCTACAGCCCTGCTGAGTCGCACAGGTCTCTGTGGGGAATGGCAGCCCATGGGAGCTGTCGGGAGCCCTTCCCTCATACACCTGGGACCAGCGTCCCGGAGAAATGAAAAGAGTCCAAATTGGCAAGTACGGCCGTTATTTAATTGCTACTGTGGAAGTGTGCCTTGATTGCAGAAACAATAACATTTCAATATTGAAATCACCAGCTTTTGGAGGGGAGCAAGTGCCTGGTGTGAAGGGCGTTTGGGTTGAGCCTGGCACCCAGCATGATTACAACAACGAGGATTAAATGTGGCTTGCTGGAGCCAGGGTTGCTGCTGGTGAAGGCCCCGCTGCAGAGCCAGCAAAGCCTTGCTTGCAGTTTGGCTTCCTATAATTTGGATTTTGTATTTGCAATATGCTTTTTAAAGCACACGCATCTATGTTAACGCATCCAGACTGAATAGCGCAGAACGATGAGCTTTTCGTTACGACTTACCCAAGGCCATCTGATTTTTAATATGTGTGTTTAGTTGCAACCAAAATTACAGTCATTGAAATAAAATTATGTACAGAATAAGAAAAGAAAAATGTGGAAAGAAAAAGACCGAAAGATAGAATGAAACACCACATTGATATCTAATGCTGCTTCAAACAAAATGTTTAAAATAATTACTTATACCTTAAGCTTAGTAATGAAAAAAATACAAATACTTTGTTAATTAAAAATGATGTCCAAGCTATTAGATTCTTTGCTAGAGAGGGCAAGCCCGTGTTTATCATGCTGTAAAGGTTGATAAAGGGGGAGTTAGTTCTATGCAGCAGAGTGAGCAAACTTCACAGCAACCAAGCAATCCCAGATACTGAGGGAGATTCTGCATCCCCAAGTCCTCTTTTGCTCTCCTGATTTTGTTCCCTAATGTTGTTTAGAAAAGGGTCTGCTATGTAGAAAGCATCCTTTGAGCTGAGGCTTGCACAACATTCGTTTTGCAAGAAAAGCTGGAAAGTGGGGTCAGGCGCTTGGAGGCAGCTCTCAATTTTGGGCTGCTTCTAAGTCTCTGATCCTGAAAGTTTTGGTATCTGCACAGTGAGCACATCCCAGGCATAAAGCACAGCAGACACCTTGGTGAGAAGCACAGAGTTCAATGCCCTTTTTAAGTTGCTGTGGAAATTCTTGCAAAAGGTTTTGCTATGATTCATTGGTATTTCTCAATTCTTTAAAAATTGCTAGAAAATTCCCCAGCCGCCTACAACGGAGACTATGAATAAGAAGGAATACTTAAGGGCACCCTTGAAGCCACTACCAGGAAGCATGGCCCTTCCTTAAAGCAATTTACCCCCACCAGGCCTCTGTGAGGCGGGTGGATGGCTGTGTTTTCCCTGGCTCTGCTCCATACCTCCAAGGGATTCATCTTGCCAACTCACCCAGTGTCTTCACTGCAAACAAATTTCCTGCTAAGTTTTGATTTTTTTCCTGTGCTTCTCATATAGTCTGATTTTTTTTTAATGGAATCAGTTTGGGATGCTCTCGCTGGAATGCCACTCACGGGGAAAAAAAGTCGTTTGTCTTCCCTGGGCTCTGTGTTGGCTGTTTATTCACCACTCATTTCCGCCATACGCCGTTCCAGCGTGTTGCAGCAGCAGCAG